CCGGACGGGTGACGGGCGTGGCGAGGACCAGCCCGCTTGGCGGCGGACAGGCCTCCCGCGCGCATGCGCAGCACGAACCGCTCCCCGCGTGGCTCCGCTGTGTCCCAACCGTCAACGGCTCGGCACCCTCCGCGTCCCCTGAGCCGCGTGAACCCACCCCATCCCCCAATCAGATGCGAGATGTAGCATGCTGGGGTGGGTGTGCTGGACATCTGGGGACACAGGGGTCTCTGAATATACTCTCACCTGCTCTCCTGGTCCCCAGACCCCACCCCAGGGTCCAGCTCAGGACACGGCTGGGCCTGTGTGACCTGGGGGCGGCAGTGGCCACTCAGTCCGGGCAGGGAGAAGGTCCAGCCGCCGCTTCTCCTCCTCCTCCACCGCCCCACCATTTGTCCCCCTCACAGGACGCCGGGACACAGGGTCCAGCCTGTCCCTGGCTGTCCTGGCTGCTGTGGGAGGGGCTGGAGGAAGCCCACCGCCCAGAGGAGCAGGCGTTGGGGGTAGTTACTGTTATTAGGGGGCCCCCTGGGCACTGAGTGTTTTCACCCCACTTTACAAAGGAACAGGGGCCCCAGCTCCTTGGGTCACTCGGCTCTAAGTGACCAAGTCCAGCCATGAAGGGGGACTGAGGATCGTTGCTCCTCACTGAGCCCCGCGCTGGCCATCAGAGCCTTGTCCTGTGTGGGGCTCCCCCGGCCAGGCAACCTCCTGAGTCCAAGCACTGTGGGTGCCTTTGAGACTGGAAGACAAGAGCTGTCGATGAAAAATAATAAACAACCATTAAAAATAACAGAAATGAGTTTTATTTGAGCCAAACTCGGGACTAGCCTGGAAGCCCGCTTCCCAGATGCCTCTGAGAAACTGCTCCAGAGAGGCAGGGTTTCCAGCACAGGTTTATATATTGTCAGGACAGAGAATGTTAGGAAGTCAGGGATGCAGTTCTTCGAGGTAGAAGAAGAAAAAGGAAACAGGCCAGCACATATATGGTGGGTCAGTGAGGCCTCGGCATCCGGGACGAGGCATATCATCAAAGGAGGACCAGCACTGGTGTCCCGGAAGAGGGGCATTTCATCTTCATTTTTTGAGATGATCCCTTTTTAAATTTAATTTTATTTTGGGGAGGTTATTAATAAATCAGGTTTATTTATTTAAAAAGAGGTGCTGGGGATTGAACCCAGGATCTCATGCATGCTAAGCACATGCTCTACCACCAAGCTACAGCCTCCCCCCCTAATCTTTATTCTTATCATGGATGTTCTTTACTTGTGGTCCATGTGCCCTTTTCTTTAATGGTTAAAGCAGATGTACAGTGTACGTTGGATGGGCCACACACAGGCTGTTCTAGTCAGCATCAAATTCAAGTTAACTCGTGTATAAGCCAGAACGACTTCCCTGTGTCTCAATATGTGAAAAAATTTATTTTGTCAGAGTACAACTACGTTGGAAAAGGACCAGGGAATGGCCTTGACAGGCCTGAGAAAACGAAGCCCAAAGGCCGAGGTCTCTGAGAGGACACCCGGAGACCCACAGGAGCAAAAGACACCTCTGTTCCCTGACGTGTGTGCAGTTTCCTGAGGACAAAGGCGGGACCATAATGTGCCACGTGGCAGGTCCCCGAACTCCCAGTTCCCCAAAAGATAAAGGTTTGACACGTTCTCGATCGTTTTTGCAGGAAGCAGATCCCCCGCCACGTGAAAACTGCTGGCCCCGAGCACATAGCTCCCAGACCACTTGAAACCAGACGGCTGAAGGTGCTCAGAACTTCACCTTGATTCCCACCCATCCGAGTATTGAGCACAAACTGTTCAGGTTCCTGCAGCTCCCCCGCCCACATCCTTTAAACTCCCTTCCCTGAAAGTCCTCAGGTACCTGGCACCCTTCCCCCTTCTCTCTTGTGCACAGCTCTCCTTTCAATAAAAAGCTTTGTGTCCCTAGGAGTCTTGTGGGAACGACGTCCATTTCTACGGTCTTGCTGTCCAGGAGTCTGGAGGGGTCCAGTAACACCCACATCCCCTCCGCTTTAACCCTCCCGGGGTCAGAGTCACTGACCCCATTTCCAATGAAGGAAACAGGCTCTGAGAGTCACAGGAGCTTGCCTGTCACAGAGCTGTGAGGTGGCCCCACTGTGAGTTTGAACCCAGGGCAATCTGACCCCAAAGGCTGTGCTTTATGGGGGCCTGAGCTAGTGACCTCTGAGTCCAACCTCGGAGGTAAGTCCCCTGTGGATGGGGGGCTGTGGGGAGGGGCACTGCAGGCAGGGGCTCTGAGGAGGGAGGGGCTTGGAAGGGTCCCTGGGGGAGGAAGGCTGTAGGGAGGCTGGAGTGAGGGGTGCACACTGGGGAAGATGTCTGGACCACACCACCCAGGGCTCTGGACATCGGGCAAGGTGTCGGGGTCACTGCTGTCTGGGTGGGGATCAGGGGACACGATACAGGCTGTCTTATCAGAGCTGCAGCATCCAAGATTAGGAGGGATCAGAGTGGGCATGTTACCCACCCCCCACTCAAGCATGGGATCCCCCAAACCAACCAGGATGAGGAGGCTGCCTCAGTCTTCCCGTACTCCCCTCAGGGTGGGACCCGCTGCCTGGAGGGTCCAGAGATGGCCTCTTGTCAAGGTAGCCGTTTGAGAGAGGTCTGTACCCGAGGGGTGTAAGAGAGGGACCAAGGGGTGCGGACGGCGCTGGGGAGCGGGCTGCCGGGCTCGGGCTCCCAGACAGAAGAGAGCGTCTCCACAGGGGGGCCCTACTGCCCTTGGCCAGGAAGATGGACCCCAAAGTAGGCTCCTTGGAAGCCCAGGCCCTGGGCGCAGAGACCCCCAGCTCCGCCCAGGCTTCTCCAGGTGGAGGGAGGCCTCCCGGGCAGATCTGAGGAGTAGTGTCTCCTGTCGGGTCCAGCACCCCCAGCCCGAGACTTAGCCCTTGATCGTTAAGCCCTGGCCCTGGCCAGGCGCCAGCCCCTTCTCTGCACAGCCCCTTGGGGGCAGCCAGGTCAGAGGGGACCCACTGCTTAGGGGCAGGGCAGCACCAGGCAGACAAATGGTCCAGGGCCCAGATCCCAGGACAGGGGCCAGTGGACCAGGCACTGTTCACCGGGTCCCCCCACCAGGCACCCAGTTTGATGGCCTCACGCCATTGCAGGGACAGTGGGGCCAGGAGAGTTGTCATTGCAGAAAGTGGGACACTCACCACCAAAGCCTGAGGTGGCCGGACCCCCAGACACCCCCAGACTGGTGAGGGGCTTGCACTGCCAGGGAGCCCCATCTGGCGTCTCTTTGTCAGGGAGGGAAGTGCCTGAGCCCCAGCATCTGCGTGCGGGGCCTGCTGTGCCCAGGAGGGGCCCGGGAAGGCTGGCCTCCCCGACGGGGGGCTGTGGGCCTGGGACTTGGGAAGGTGCACCTGAGTGGAGGGAGCCCCCTTGTCCCCAGTCTCCAGGGAGGTTGGTCTGGGGTCACCCTCCCACCACGAGAGAGGAGACCCTGGACGCTGTTGCCTGGCTGTCAGGCAACGCATCACCAAGCCCCAGGGTGATTTTGGGAAACTGCGGTGTTGGCGTCAGAATATGCGGGCAAGGTCACTGCTGAAGTGATTCCCTCCCCGGGGGCAGCGCCTGTGTCCAGCCAGGAGTGGGGGAAGGGGCAGGAGCGGAATCCCACCCCAGCTGGGGTCCCCGTGTCCTGCTGTCCCCAACCTGGTGGGCCTGGGCCAGCCTGGCGCCTTCCTGCATCCTCCACTGGGGGCTCCCCTCACTCCTACCTCGGCCTCCAGCCAGTGGGGAGCTAGGGGCCAGGCCATTCCCACCTGCACAGGTGACCCCACCTGGGGACTGGAGCTGACCCTGTCATCCTCACACCCTTCCCCCCACCCCCAGGACCAGGGAGACCCTGAGCTTCACAG